ATATGTACAGGGCCCTGAGATAAAGACAGTGTTGCACAAAATACATTTTCATGGTCTCTGCCCTCTGATAGCAGGAGAGGGGGACGCTGTGAGCTGTGTCTTGTGAACTGTTGGCATCTTACACAAACCAGTTGTTAAATCATTCCAGTGCATAAATCCAATCTTCCAGGTCAGATTACTTATGAGATAAAACATTGTCACATAATAACCATGTACTTTGAGACAGGAATGGCTTTACACAAGGTCCTTTATACACTGTAACAAGAGAAGTAATTGTTTCTGCATGTGAACTCAAGCGTGAAACAGACTTGGTTTAAGAAGTTATCAAGTATCAAGCAGTTTCTGGAGTTTAAATTTTGAAAAAGTGATAAAATATGAAAAATTTAAAACTACCCATCTATTGTAGACAAGTCACTCTGAGCATATTAGCCAGAAGAAATCTCTCCTACTGTTAAACCTCTTGTCTGCACCTTCTTGCCTGGCATCCAGCAGTTCCTTGTTTGGGGTCATTACTTGATTGCTACCAAACTAAAGCAATACGATAAGAGGGAAAAACATTAGCTATGTTTGAGGTGTGCAAAAAGTTAGTTTGAGCAAGAGCCACCATGGAAGGCATTAAGGCAAGCACTTAATGGGAGTTTGAGTTGATTTATGGGAGGAACAGCTAGAAGTATCAGAGGTAGATAGTATATTGATGATGTAATATTAGAAAAACTATATCCTTAAATATTTATCAGTGTACCAAAAAGTAGAAAATTGAAAAGGGGGAAATATTTATTATTTACTCTTAGGTTCCTCTATTGAAATTCACAACTAAGGGAAATAAGTGTCTTCTGCTCTTTATCACTCCGTATTGTTATCTCTCAGTAACACACAGCTAATGCTCCAGACATTTGCTGAACTACTGAATAAATAAACAGGAAATATGCACAGAAACAGCGCCTAACAGCGATGCTAAGATAAAAGAATAGCTCGTCTTGCTTCTTGTTGGGACCTTTACTACTATGGGGAACAAAATCCCACATTGTGATTCCATGAGAGTGCTCCTTGAACCAATACTTGAACACACAATTCATCGTGGGGAAGGAGACATATTCAAAGGATAGATTAAAGGAAGGCAGAGAGATGATAAAAATTTCCTTTATGCATATATTATTATCTTATACTAATTGAAAACATATAATAAAAGACAGTTTATGCCACCACTTGCTAGCTATGTCTTGCTAAATGCTCTAACAATACCTTAGACTTCCCTGTAAAACACACAGCCAGCGTCACCCAAGAAGACTTCTCTCCCTAGCCTGCAATGTTCCACCTCCTCTCTCTGCAGTTGTTTTTGTTTTCCATTGTGCCATTATCTCAGCCACCTAGACTGAGGAAGTCCCCTCCACTTTACCCTTCTATGTTACACTGTATCACTGCAGTACACACACACACACACACACACACACACTGAATGTACTCCATCTATTCTTTCATTTTCCCTGTCTCACATGTAGGACTCAGAATTGATTTTTAGGAGCAAATTCATTACCTCTACTCAGCCCAACTTGTATGACAGTCACATTTGACCACATTACACTGTTCCCTAAAACACACCTGTTCTTTTTCTGTTATAAAGCACTTGAGATTAGGATCTCCTTTTGTACTTTTTTTCCGAGTCCCTCCCACTTTTAATTAGTGATGCTCACTTAAGAGATGCTGGAAGATACCCATTGGACGCCTACTACCTGCCAGCAGCAGCTGTGTGGCTAGAACAGCATCGACAGCTCCAGTTTCTTCTCATTCTTGCAAAGGTACAAGGAAAATTAAATGTTAAATTCCTATGGAAAATGAACAGAAGAGGGGAGGCTTTACATTGGATGGGAAGAAAACAATTTCTATATCAAGAGAGAAAGAAAGAAGGCCAGGAGGGAAGAAGGGAAAAGGAATGGGAAAAAAAGCCATATAAAGTCAGAGAATGGCTGTGTGCCCAGATAGAGGTGCAAGACAGTCAAAGTTGGTAGAACATGAGATTCTTAATCTCAGGGTTGTGGGTTCGAGCTCTGCATTGGGTGCCAATTTGTTGTGACAAATATCCAACCCCGATAAGCTTGTGTAAAAAACACACAACTCAATTATAATAGTTATAAATAGCATGCGTAGGATAGGTAGACACACTACGACACTACTCAATTCCCCAGCTAGGAAATCCCTTGCTACTTATGGTTCCTCCAGGCCACGTGCTACTGTTCCATCATCCTTCCACCTCTTCCTTCCTTTTTCATTCTCCTCTCTCTCCTCCATCTCCTCATCTCCCTTCTTCCTCTCTCTCCCTCTCCAAAACTTTCAGCTTCACCTTTTCCTTCCACTGCTCAATCACAGACTCTAGCCTTTATTTGACCTGTTATGGTGAGGAGCAGGTTCACATGAAGTCACCTGAGTACATGATCCACACCTAGTCTGAGGCAGCGTCTCTTGAGAAAGCAGAATTGGCATCAAAACACAAACAGCACCAGGGCAATCCACAACAGATGATGGAAAGATCCTGGGGAATTTAAGGGATTAGGAAGACCAGAAATGGCCTAAGCAAAAGGGGTCCAAGGAGAAGGGACTGGCTTAGGGTAGCCTGAGGCTACATCACAATGAAGAAAAAGAGTCAGCAAAGGAGAGTGTCACTGAGAAAAGAGAACATTAATTTTGGACTTTATAAAACAGTGTCAAGGACCTTTTATTGCTCAAGGAATGAGGCTTGTATGTGACTATCCTCTGATACTATCATCTGCCATCTTGTGGAGTTCAGCTTGTCCCTCTTGCAAAATGATTATCCCAGATGGACCTGTTGACTGTTTAAACACCACATGGAGAAGAGAAGACGGTCATAGACCCTTCTCTGAATATTCAACTGCTCCCTACCACCTGGTGTATGAAAGCCTGCTTTAGTTGCTATCCTTTGAAGGATGTGCTACATTATGTAATCCTAAGAAGACTGGGGATGGGGTTCGATCTATGCTTCTACAAGGAATCCCTCATTTCTGCAGGTTTTCTAGGTGTGGCCTGTTGGGAAGGAGAACCCACATATTAGTAAGTAACCCTCACTTTTGCTGTGTAAGAAACACAACAAACATATGTATTCCTGTGCTGGGTATGTCAACTTGACACAACCTAGAGTTATCTGAGAGGAAGAAATCTTAATTGACAAATTGCCTCCAAAAGATGTGGGGTGTAGTCAAGCAAGCCTGTAGGATATATATATTTCAATTAGTGTGGGAGAGTCCAACCTACTATGGATGGTGCCACCTCCACCCTTAGGCACCATAAGAAAGCAAGCTAAGTCAGCCACCAGAAGCAAGACAGCGGGGCTCTGCATCAGCTCCTGCCTCCAAGTTCCTGCCCAGTTTGAGTTCCTGTTTTGGTTCCCGCCATGAACTATGATTCAGGATATCTAAGGCAAATAAATTCTTTCCTCTCCCAGGTTGCTTTTGATCATGGTTCTTTGTCACAGCACTAAGACAGTTCCCCAGAGGGAAGGGATTCCAGAACCATGCCTTGGTTTGCCATTGGGACGTTAGCAGAAGGTGTAGACATTGTTTATATCTCACCAATGGGAGAGAACTTTTTAGCAACATGGCTGTTTTCAAGTCCTAAGGGGAGGAAGGAAGGTTGCCTCAGCGTGTCAAATAATTCTTCTGGAAAAGTAGCAAACTGTAATCTGTATGATTACCCACTCTACAGCTATCAGTGCAGACCAGAGTTTAAGGATTCCATCCCTGCCTGTGGGGCTCAGGAGGTACCTACTTTTTTTTTCAGTCCCTCTACTAGACTGACCGACCCCTCCCTTGTGCCTCTTCTCAGAGTGTGGATAGCCCAACTCAAAGATCCTTGTCTTCCAACTCTCTTCAAGTGTCCCCAAGCAATTAAACTTTATGGAATAGTGAACTTTTTTTTTTTTCTATCATCTGTCCGCAAATGTTTCTGGATGCTCCTCCATGCATCCTGCAGATTTGTGGTGGTGTTCGGAGGACCTGGTGCTGCCAGCTGCTTGAGATGATCTGACTCAGTGAGGAGTTACAGCTGCGGGTGTGCGATTCCGTTGGTGTAACTGGCAGACAGACTCTTTATTTCCATTTGTCTTTTCATGCAGCAAAGATAAGGGGGCCCCCATCTCATCTCACGTGCTTGTTGCTCACCAGGACTTGCTTGCTTGCTCCTGCGTGAAAAGCTGAGCACGCGGAGGGCGTTCTGCAGAGGCTCATCACCTGGCTCAGGTATGCTGTAACTCTGATCTCTGGTGGCATTTTAGAAGCCCAGTATGACCTTGTCTTATGCTGTGCCTACACTTCTGGCGGCAGGTGTGTCCTGGGGTAACTGAGAGTCTCTGTGTACATGAAGAAGTGAGCAAAGGGGCGGAGTCTGCTAAGTGAGGCAAGTCACAGAATTTCCTTAACTAGCCTGGGTTTCAGGTCAGGCTATTGCCTGGCTTGCTCATGCATACAGACTCTATTTAAGAGGAAGTGTGGAGAGGAAGGAAGCCGGCATAAAAGGCTGCAGGCCTGGGAGTTTTGAAGAGACTAGCCATATACTTTTGTCACCAAATGCTCCCTAGGTGGGGGTGGAGGGCAGTGTTTTTGGTTCCTTGCAAGCTGTGTAATTTCTCTATGCTACACAGTACTTAACTGGCAAAAGAAGTTCTGGAAGGTTCTTCACAGTCTTAGTTCCCAAATTTGGGGGACCACTATTGGCCACTGGGACTGGCCATGGAGGCCAGTCACTTGGTGAAGTGCCCGAAGCCCTAGCCAACTTTCAAAAGGGAATCCCCTGACCTGTTTTGTGTTCCCCTAAGGGTTATTTTTGCTGGGCCCCAGAAGCCAAAGCCATCCTGTGTGATGTCTGCCAGAACCTGGACAGGGTGTGAGTCTACACAACCTAGGTCCCCTAGCGCCCCCTACAGCTGCTGCGGGGCGGGGAAGGGGATCGGGTTGGGGCGAGGGAGGCCAGGCCATGAGCCACTGCACCACACCCAGGACCCCACCCAGATCCTAGGAGCAACCCGGTGCTGGTCCCCAGGCCACAGAAACGGGGCGTGGGCCAGAGCCTGAGGCATCCCTGGCCACCACGATCGCTCCGCCTGTGGCCACCAATTCCCCTCCTCTTCTGGCGTCCCTCTCTCCGCCCCTGTCGCCTGCCAGCTCCGGACACGCTGCTGCACTTCATCTCTTGGGGCGCTCTTCGCTTTGGCCAACCGTTTGTCGCACCCTATGCAACTCTGGTCAGTGGCCGTTTTTTGTTGAATGTTCCCCACCAAGAGTGCATGGCTGCGGAAGCGAGGTGCAGACCGAGGCCCCGAGGGGTCTCCCTCTGGGAAGCGGTGATGCTGTTGTTGTACTTCGGGGTGCCAACCGGGCACTTCTACAACCTGGACCCAGAGAGTGCACTGCTGTACCAGGGCCCCTCCGGCACGCTGTTTGGCTATTCGGTGGTGCTGCACAGCCACGGGACGAAGCGCTGGTGAGTGCGCCCTCCCCAAGAGGCATGTCACAGCGCCTCCGCCTCTGGGATTCCTTGTCTGAATCAAACTTTCCGCCCTCCTGGGAGGTCAGAGAAAAATCTGGTTTCAGCCAGCTGGCTCACTGGAGAGCCTTGGAACTTAGGATGGCAGCCCCCAGGGTGCTCCTGGTACCTGGCTCCTGAGTCCTGAGTCCCCAGTGATGGACAGAGGAGGTGGGCGCCACTTCCCTTGATGCCCACTGCACAGCTGTCACAAGCCGACACAGGGCAGGGTGGGTGGGCAGACTGGTTCACGTCTGAGCGAACTTGCATGGTTCTTGCTTTAGGCTCATCGTGGGGGCACCCACTGCCAGCTGGCTCTCCAATGCCTCAGTGGTCAATCCTGGGGCGATTTACAGATGCAGGATCGGAAAGAATCCAAACCAGACCTGTGAACAGCTCCAGCTGGGTGAGTTGGGTCCCCAAACCGAGAGATAATGAACTTTCTCCCCCTCGTGGGCCCACTGTTGGGCAAGTCCCGGAAGACATCATGATGGCCAGTCTCTTCTGGTTTAAAGTGCGAGCTTTTCAATTTTAACCCCATGCCAGCTTGCTTCTGGCGGTATTTTCCTCTCCTTTGCTTAATTAAAGTTGTAGCTGATCTCAGTATCTAGCAAACCTCTTCAGGAAAAGTCTCATAGGATGTCTTCTGGCCAGCTACCTCTTCCAGTCCTCTAACTCCTCCATGTGAAACATCTGCTTTAAAGCCAGAGGACCCAGCCAGAGAGAGGTTTTTAAGGATTGTACTTCTGTCTCTGACTTTTCAACTTTGTTCTAGAGTGAGCGGTACATCAGGAATGGAACCTTCGATTGAGCCATTGTATCCTGCCATTTAGTTCAAGGGCTTTTCTTCTTCCTCCTTTTAAAAAGACACAATATACCATAAAAGAACGGGAAGAAAAAAAATGGCCTTTTATTAAAATCTTAAATATAGGAGGTCTAAAATATAATTATTAATTTTCCTCCCCTCAAATTCTCCTGTAAAGTGGGTCTGTCTTTCAGCCCTCATTTCTGTCTTTATTTAGGTTTTCAGTAACTTGAGAAATGTGCTCTGATGGCAGAGGGGATAAGTTTCATGTTTCAAAGTCAAAAGCAAAGTTGCTGTGCACAGACGCATGGGGAAAGAAAGGGGAACTAATATTCATTTAGCTCTATCTTGCTCTCAGTGCCGTTAAGCACCGTTGTGTATTATTGCTCAATGTTTTCCCCTCAAAGCAACTCTAGTGTATGGTTGTATTGTTTCTCCTTCTGCAGGACTTCAACACAGAAAACTGTAGGTTCCTTCTTCAAAAAGACTTACCTAGACTTAGGGTTATCATTTCAGGTATACATCTTCAGTAAGGATAAAACTAAATGAAGGGCTTTGGTGTACTGTCTGTAGCTATAATATATTATTGATGATGATTAGTTATGGGCCAGAATTGGTACTTTTTATATTTATCTGTAAGTGGATGAACTATTTGAGAATACCTTACTTTGTCATACACCTTTTATATTCATCTTTCTTTGCACTTTTACCCCAGCATCCATAAGAATGCACAAGTTATGTGTGCACTGGATTAGGCTACATCTGACGCTAAAGTACAAAGGATTCTGGGAGTAGGAAAACACAGGGAGAGGAAGAGGAGGAGGAGGAGGAGGAGAAGGAGGAGGGGGAGGGAACAAAGGCTAGAGGGAGAAAACAACAAAACAAATTTTACTCAGAAAAAAATACCTATTATGAAGCTTAATTCTTCATAAAAAAGGGATGGGCCTCTGAGGATCACACGGCATCCCCTCTTCCACGAGGCAGACTGGGGTTCATAGAAGATTCACAGATTTGTGCATTCAGAATTTTTTTAAAAAGTATTTTCATTGCCTGAGAGAGTTGGGCAATGAATGAAGCTGTGATCTGACAGAGATTCCTCACAGGGCCTCAGGAGAGAGCAATTTCTCTTCTGTGGTCTTCCATGACATTACAAATACTGGTGGCTATATCCTGCCTGGAGGGCACTGGGTCTATTTCTGGATGTTTGTATTTAACTAGAAGGGGATCATGTCCTGATATATAAACTTTTAGATGTCGGCAAGTGTCAACTAAAGGAAAACCTAAATTCACTGGGGGTGTGGAACACAGAATTCACCACAGAGATATTTGGGTACATTGGATACTTAAGAGATATAAAGACTTACTGGATGGATGAATAAAAGAAAAGTACAAGTTTTATAGTCACCAACTTGTTTGCTGGGTCAACAGTCACCAACTTGTTTGCTGGGTCAAAAGTCAACAATGGTAAGCCAAAGTGATATTTTTTACTTTCAGGATTTGAATTAACAACAAAAGTCCTGAGATGAAAGAGGCAGAAATGAGTCTGAGGTTCCAGTCAATTGCATGACTACAGCATCAGCTGGGAGTACTCAGGAGGATTTTGTAAGGGACTTGCCTGAACGTACTTCTCAGTGAACATTCTGAACAATACATTCTCAGTTTCTACAGAGAAAATAGTTCCTTTATTAAGAACAAATTCAAAAGTAATTTAAATCTAGAAGGTAAAATACTGACACTAATGCCCAGAAGGAAAGCTAAAAATCACCAGTTGATTAGCAGAAACATATTAGGATTTCAAGGTATATAGACTATGTGCTGCTACTTATGGACATATTTTGTGCATGTATGTTGAAAAAGGAAGAGATGAAGGAGAAAGTTACCTATAGACACACAAAGTCTTCTGTATGTTCTGAGTGATATTATTTATGTAATTAATTATAATCATATATTATCTTATCTATAATGTGGTTGATTATATTCTAAAGTTCAAAAATTCTTAGCTTATTCAGGGATGGTACCACACACCTTTAATCCCAGCACTCAGGAGACAGAGACAGGAGAATTCTGTGAGTTTGGTTCCAGATCAGTCTGGTCCACATAGCAAGTTCCAGGACAGCCAGACCTACATTGTGAGACCCTGTCTCAACTCCTGCCCCACCCCAACCCCAAATACTTAACTCAATATCAAATACATATCAGACATTCAAAAATTAGTTGTTCTTTATTTTTCTTTTTAAAACTATTTGTGACATCTGCAATAAATGCAATAAAATATTTTCAAAATAAGTAAACAGGGCCAATTCATAAACTAAATTAAAAAATGGTAATTCTATAAACAAAAATATAACAAATTGAAATGAAACAAAATAAAGAAGTCATTGTTCCATCAAAATAGTTTTACTAAGGTAGAGCTATTGGTGGTAAGTAACCTCTTGCCTCTGGGATAACTTTAGTTTTTATCATGGTTCTTAATGCCCAGTCATACAGAACTGTCCATTGGTTCTTCAGTTCCAAATATTCATCTGGAGTTGTTTCCAAGTCTCTTTAGTAGGTCAGATAAATAAACGGTCCGAAATGACCATGCTATCCTGCCCTAGTGTAACCTATGACTGATGCTACTGTATATCCTGCTGTATTCACTATAACCGTAATCAGAGTTGAACAGGAGTACTCACTTATCTAGCATGCTCAGGGGAGATGTTGTTAGTACTCCTTCAGCAGACTGAATTGGGTGCTGAGGTGATGCCTAGGGGTTGCTTATGAACCCCTGTAGGTGTTTTCTTCCTGTGTTCTCAGTCTCCTTCTGGCACCCTGCCTGCCTCTGTTGTTTTTCAGTTTCTTGCTACTTCCTTCCATGAACAAGAAAGTAGTCTCCCCTCAAGAAGACATAAGTCTACACCTACTTGTAGAGACAGTGTCTAAGGAGGTCCTGGTGATTTCCACGTGTTTACCCTCTTCTCTGTCAGCTACTTTGTACCTTTACTAGGGGTTGTTTAACAAGTTTATTTGGTCACTGATAGTTCCTGAGTCAAGATGATAAAAATGACAACTCAATGAATACATTTAAGCATGATCTGTGCTTGAAATGCCCGTATTCAACCAAGCAGAACACAACAACACATAAATGATATGAAATGTATTTGGTTATCAAGACACTCTGGATTTTTCAAAAGAGACCTATTCATTTATTTTCTGTAAGTGAGTACACTGTCACTCTCTTCAGACACTTCAGAAGAGGGTATCAGATCCCATTACAGATAGTTGTAAGTCACCATGTGGTTGCTGGGAATTGAACTCAGGACCCCTGGAAGACAGTCAGTGTTCTTAAACACGAAGGCAATTCTCCAGTCTGACACTCTGGATGTTTAATAGCTTATAGTTACCAAAATAAAATAACCTCCTTCCCTCTCTCCCTCCCCTCCCTCTCTCTGTCTCTCTGTCTCTCTCTGTCTTTCTGTCTCTCTCTCCATCTTTCCTCTCTCCTTGCCCTCCCTCTCCCTTCTCCTCTCCCTCTTTCCTTCTTCTCACTTACTCCCCCACGTGTGTGTGTGTGTGTGTGTGTGTGTGTGTGTGTGTGTACAGAAATAGATGTACTTCAGCTCTGTCTTTACTGGTATTAGAATTTAAAGTTACCTAGTCGTAGCTCAGTAAATTAGTCACTGGCCACATGTGGCTTCTGAGGACAGGAAATGTCCACAGTAAGAAGTCTATCTAAGACAGTTCAAAATTAAGCTATGATTACCTCATGAAAGAAATATCTTAAACCAGTATTAATAACTTACATACGTATTTGAATTGATTGAACATTTCTTTTTACTTTTGTCATATGACAATTCTTCAGTTAAAAATGAGAGTTGAGTGCACATTACATTTCTACTGAACAGCACTAACTCCCTAAAACTTCATTTTGGTGGGAGCTCTCCTGCATCTGTGCCTGAGTGGATGGGACCCTCACTTCTTACAGATGCAGAGCTCTGGCTACTGTGTTCAGCTTCCTGCCTGGACTTTTTTTTCTCTTCCTGGAAAGACCAATGGTCCACAGCAACTTGGTCATCATTAATGATTTTGAATGTATTTCTGGAAATAACATTGCCTTGGGAAATCTCCTGTTTTTATATTTCATACTCTATTTGGGAAGGGGTCACGTTTCTAAGTATTGCATCATTTCTGCCTGATTGGCAAGAGTTAGTAATACTACAATGGAAACATTTAAATGTTAAAACTTCAAATATATTCCTGATGATGTTCTTTTGTTTGCAATTAGCTTAAACTTGTTGCTTATGAAGCTGAGATTAATACAAATTGGTCATTTTGACAAATCATCCCCAAATACAGGCTACTCTGAACATAGAAAATCATGATAGAAGGTGCTATTAATCAACTTCCAGGTTAAATGACAGAAGCTAGGGTTGAGCAAGTGACTTAGTTGTTGAAGGTATATATCATTCTGGTAGAGGATCCAAGTTCAATTCCAGCATCCACATCAAGCAGCTTACAACAACCTATGATTGATTAGAGAGCTGAAGCTTTCTTAAATGCAGTTCTTTTTAATATAAGATCAGATGCTCACTGGTTAATATTTCTAATGACTAAGACAATTT